ATTCTCTCGTCTAGATATGTTTCAAAATGTTTTGCGTTCGAATTCCCTGACAATGTGTCACAGAGCTTAAGAATACTTTGTGTCGAGATTAATAGAAGACGCGCCGTCGGCAGAAAGATAAAAGATTATTACAAGCGGCTTTTTGGCGCTTTTAAGTCGTTTGGTGGAGGTGAAATTGCCTACAACTGCGTAACGAGTCAAGTCGTTGACTCTATTACGTGTGACGAAAAGATGCAGCATCCGAGGGAATTCAATGTTCGCAGATTTGTCTGTGTGTTTGATCCTACATTGTTTTATCAAGCAACCTTTTGCCATTCTCATTGCTATGTGAAATTAATTTAGACAACAGACAAACCAAAATTTGATGCAAAGAAGGGGTCTCGTGTATTACGTGGCCACAGCCATTACATTTAGTTAATCAGGTATCCCTTTCCAATACTGTACTTCGACATTTCCTGTTCTACCTTTTTGCTTAAAGCACAATAAAGTTGATACAAAGTAGTATGCTCATCGCTTACCGCAAGAAGGCTCGTTTCACCATACTTCTTACCTGTGATTAATCCAAACACATAGTTTGGTTTAAGGTCGTTTATGAGGCGTTCTTTAAACGCTGCGATGTTCTTGTCGTAAGCTTCCCACAAATTGGGAACATTCTTGAGCCCCTCTATTTTGCTTGCTACATCTTGGAGAACTTCTTTGACAGCTCCGGGCTGTAAAGCGTCGTTGACGATTTTGGCCATTAACTCCTTCTCGACAGCATTTTGGACACGTACGAGATTTCGCGTGGTCAATGCACGAAATGGTCCCGTAGCACGATTCTCCGCAATGGCTACACCGATAATGATGACAAATAAGGCGAACTTGAACAAGGAGACCATAACTTTCTCCAATGGATGATCTGGACCCTTGAGCTGGTTGTGGTAGATTGAAGAATGAGTCCACAACTGCATTGTAAAATGGAGACGTTTAAACTGAGAAAATACTCAACATCTCGACAACCAACAATTTTCGCACTTTTCTCATGCGCCAGATCTTATCCAAAAAAGTTCTTATTGTACCAGTGGATTGTATAGTTGTAGAAAGCATATGCTAGATAGAACTGAGTATTACTCCGCATACCGTTTGCAGGTCGCACCAACTAACGAATGGTGCAGCTTGTACAGGCACCACGAAAACATTCCTAGTGTTTTTTTTTGCGGTCCAAAGCTCTCAATTACTTTGTTCACTTTATAAAATACAAAAATCATTCCAAGCATGTAACAAGCAAAGCTTATTGCTTGTGTTTAAACATCACTAGCAATTTCACGAAAGTACCGTTTATAAATCGTGTATAACATGTTCTAACCTTACTGTTAAGAA